CCCAGCATCCCCAGCATCCTCGTGCCTATCCTGGCCATCCACCCAAATGCACCTGCTGCTTCCCAGTCTTTCCCAGAATGAAATAATTTCATATCAGAGCCTTGGTGATCAGTCCAAAATTCTAATCCAATATGCCACCGTCCTACAAAGAACAGTCTGTGCAATGCTCTGGGTAGCGGAACAAGAAAGAGCCCTCTGGCTTTGGTAAAATGGCACTTCACTTCCAACGCACTTTGCTATTTGCATTTTTCAAGTTTATTTTCTGTATATCTATTGCTTCTCTGACCTCAGTCCATCTTTTTCCTTCATTTCTATTTTCCATTCTTCCCCCCTTGAATTATACCCCTCACACATCTGGGGTTCTTTCTCTTATCGGCATTGTTGTTTTCCTGAGGAACACTAAGCGAATCCCTATGGAAGGAACCAGGTCTGAGCTTGCTTTTCCTTTTATCTGTTTTTACAGAGGCTACATTCGCAAAGCTAGAGAAAAGCGTAAGCGGATAAAGAGCCACACACTCTCTCTGAGTCAATCTGTAACATTTGTTTTAAAAATACTGAGGCGTGCGGTACGAAGTTAACTGTCTAAGGGCAAACTGTAACTGCCCGACCAGTGGCCCAGGAGCTGAGTGAGCACATAAGAGCTGCTATTCTGCAGTCCTCAGGCATGCCATCCCAGTGCAGTGCAGGCCACACACATCCTTATCTTAGTTACTCTTCTCAAAAAAATGAAGCCATAGTAATAAATACATGTAATAGAATCTAAGGCAAATGGAATTTCTCAAATATTTTCATTTCTATACAATCAGAACACATCTGCTAGGCAAACAGGGGAGCACTGTGTCATGACGTAATGGGTAGCAACTCGTCTCATGCTAAGCAGGGTGACTGTGCAGCTCAGAGCCACCAGCACTTTGCTGAATGATATGCTGCAAACCGCACACACTGCACCTTGTAATGAACTGCTCCATGAAATTCACGTCATGTTTGCGACCTAACTCTCTAATTTAATTACCAGCTTGACAGATACGCAGTGGCGCCCTTAAAAATGAGGAGGAGCGGCTGCAGTGAGAGTTCTGCAGTTATGAGCACTGGCTGTTCTTTCTGAGGACCTGAGTTTGATTCCTGGAACCTATACGGCAACTCACAACAGTTTGTAACTCCAGTTTCAAGGAATACATCATTCTTTTCTGGTCTCTGTTGGCACTACAAACATGTCAAACATACAAGCATACACACTGACAAAACACACACACACACATGCACACACACACACAAACACCCCAAATTAAAAACTGAAAGAAAAAGAACACCTGTAAGGAGTCTTTGCCTCCTGTATGTCACACAAAGCTCAGGGCGCTGTACTCTCAGACAGTGAGGACGGACCAGTTAAAGACACTTTACAAGGAAGTGTCATGAAGCTTTCATTCCTATCAGTATGCAGCTCATCTGTACTGATTGGTGAAATTTGTCATTTTTAAATACACAACTACTGACAAGCTTGATAATATGATACCTTTACAAATATAGCACAGATAATTAAATCAATAGTAATTTTCCTATAGTCCAAGATCAATGCATTATATTTTATATATGAGAACAGAACATGAACCTGATTTTCCAAGTTGGAATCAGCAGTACAGTGCACAGGGAAGTATCTGTGCAGTGCACATGGGAAGTATCTGTGCAGTGCACATGGGAAGTATCTGTGCAGTGCACATGGGAAGTATCTGTGCAGTGCACATGGGAAGTATCTGTGCAGTGCACAGGGAAAGTATCTGTGCAGTGCACAGGGAAAGTATCTGTGCAGTGCACAGGAGAAGTATCTGTGCAGTGCACAGGGAAAGTATCTGTGCAGTACACAGAAGAAGTATTTGGGCAGTGCATATGGGAAGTATCTGGACAATGTACATGGGAAGTTGGATAAATTCTCTTTTCCATAAAAATGTCACCATCTGTTGCTCTTTTATCCTGGCAGTGTCTCTGGCAGCAGGCTCACAGACAAACAGCGTCTGTGGCAGTGCAGGTGTCGACAACTGGACAAGTGCTGGGTAAAGGCCTGAGGTTCCCTTAGGGTTCAGAGTGGTTCCTTTCTTGTAAGGTTTCAAAGACTCTGATAGAATGCTGGTACAAAATAAACACTTAATGAAATGAAGGAACTAACAACTTTATAAGAAACATGGATGATTTGGGGGATGTCTAACATTAAGAGAATAGAATTTACAACACTATTATTTAAAGTAAATTTTCATTAAACACGCTCACTAAAATTCATTTTTCCTAATAATTACTTGCAAACCCAAAGACCACATTTTCCAGTAATCTATAGACATATATTAGTTTCAGTATGATACTAAAATTGCAAAGCAGGCCTACCCTTTGAAAGTACTTTGGAGTCCAGACGTTTATCTAAGAAACTGCCCTGGTCTTCCTACTATGAATACTAGTATTCACTATGTAAACTGTGAATGTCCTTCCGGTTTAAAAAACCCAAACTAGGTTTTTCAAGTGTTTTTACTAAGCATACTTTCCCAAGAATGGTTAAAACATTTCCATCTTACCATGAACTACATTAAAATTATATGTTTTAATTTAATGGTATCTGTCCAGTTTTTCTATTATGCCACCCAAATGTCTGTTCTACATGAAGACTTTGTCATTCTTGTTGATAAAATATGCTCTAACTATCTTAATTATTATGCTCAGCATACTTATTAAGGAGAACACCATTATAACTTGTCCTTATAACATCAGAACTGGCACTAAAGTGCACTCTTGGGCCAGATTAGTTGTCACCTTTAAAAACATAGGATTGTTTGGAAATGCATTTGTACTGTAAAGGTCTTAAAACAGCACAAAACGTTTGGAACGTGGGGAAGAAAACTCTTGTTTTCCTATTTACATTTCCTGGACTCCAGGGTCAAGTCTCCTGTTCTCTGGTTGGTTGTCACTTCCAGATATGTGACCTTGTCTCAAGTTTCCTAATAACAGAAGAATATTTCAGTGCATAAATTCTGGCCATGTTGAAAAACAAACAAACAAACAACCTCATACTTGTCAACCAGCCCTGCATGCTGTTCAGCGTCTGCCGCCGTTCCCCATCCCTGTTCACTCACACCAACCAGCTACTCCTGCCAGCCCTATTTTTTGCTCTCACACAGAAAGATGCTATATGGACACTATTTTTAAAATAAAACTTCTGTAGTTGGACTCTAAGTGTCAGAAAGAAAGCAGTTCTGCTGAAAGGATTGCCAGACAGTGTGGCAACTGTGGGGTCTGTTGAGAAAGAACAACATGAAGGAAAAATACAAATAGAAACTGACCCAAGAAAATCCGTCTTTCCTATACCCATGTCTGGATCTTAACTGGAACTTTTCCGTTTGTTTGTTTCTTTATTTTGTATGCACGGATGCTGTGAGAGTGGAAGTCAGAGGGTCAGCTGTGGAGTTAGTTCTCTCCTTCCACTACATGGGTTCTGACCTTACGTCTTCACACTTGGCAGCGAGCACCTTCACCCCTGGCCCATCTCACTGGTACCTGATCCCGATTCTTCAGTCACCACACTTGGAGGTGGATGCTGTAAGTTTCATCACTTGAGCAGTACTTAGGGTGACTCAGGAGTCCAGGAACTCAAACATGCATATCAGGACCACACAGCCCAAGACCAACAGCAAATGTCCTTGCTGTCTCCTCACTGCACAGATGAAGTGGGCGATTTAGTATCTTCAACCTCAGTTTTTTCATTTTTCTCAAAATGGTGAATTTAATTTTAAATTTCTAGCATAAGAACAAGGAAATACTTTTGGAGGTTATGAAAAATTTGATTATAAGAGAACTAAGAAGCACAAAACAGGAACTTTACATATTCTGAATAGTTTTCCTAAATAAAAAATAATATTACAATGTGTTTAAATGGGAAATCATGAAAAATAATAGAATTCCAGTCTATGTGGAAAAGGGAAAGTCAGCAAAGAGTCAAATGTAAAAACAACATAAAATTTACAAAACTACAAAACATCAAACTCTTTACAATCCTCAAAATCAACAGCTTGAAGTAATGAGCTTTGATGTTTTCAACAGAAAGGAATAAAGGCATAAAAATGAGTTCAGTTTATAATATCAAAAATTCGAATAAAAATTTCCCCAATGAAAGAAAAAGACAGTAAGAATTAAACATAACGAAAATGAAATCGTACATTTAAAAAAACAACAACCAGGAAATTGAAGAACTGAAAAGGATAGAGCACACACAATCCTCTGGGGATGTCAGGAAAGGATTAGTAGATACTGCATTCCTGGAAAACTAGAGCCATCACTACAGAACCAGCAGCAGCACAAGAGATGCTGTGGATTAATCTTGGACGACAAATTTGAAAATTAAGAGAACAGCAATAAATCCTAAGAAAATACAGCTTCTTAGGACTGGCTAACATGGCAGAAAAATACTCTGCCCCATTGTTTGTAAAAATCAGAATATTTCCAGAATCCACAACAAAGAGTCATCTAAGTATTAAATACCACCTCCTACATACACACACACATTCCCCCACAACCACACCCACACCCCATATAACACCTACCCCTCACACTCACCCAAACACCCACACACCCACCATCCCTACACACCCTACATATACCCCTACCACCCCACACCCACACCCCTACACAAATCACACACACCCACACCATCCCCACACACCCCACATTTATCTCTACCCCCCCCACACCCACAGACCCCACATCCTCTTACACATCCCACACAACCCCCACAACCCCACAACCCCCACACCCCACACATCCCCCACACTCCACACACACCCTCACACAAACAGAAACATACAGCCGCCAGATCACTTTCCTAAACCAAAACTAACTCCCAGACAAAATCTTGCAGGGAAAACAAACTTTAAAAAGTATAGACCAATTTATAGCTCTATAAAGCCTAGAACTCTTTAGTAAGATATTTTTAAAACTGAATCTAGCAACATTTTTCTTTAATTCAGTCTCCGAAGAGACTATCAAAAATTGTCAACATCGACTATATTGCAAGTTGTCACTGCAGGGTACTGGGAAAAGCTTTCAATTAGCAATAATTCCACCTCGGATAAACCTCATTGGCTAAGATACTGCCACTGCGCAAAGCACTAGCAACATGTTCTAAAAGAGAAAACATCTAATAAATGCAAGTCAGATTTAAACATTACAACAAAAGAATAAAAACCACGGATTTTCTCTGTAGTTTCTGTTTTATAAAGGGCTGCTTTTAGACAGCAAGTAATTGAACAGTGAGATGTGGGGATTTCTTTAAATAGCAAGGGAAGACTACATCACTGCTTTGACATTTATTGATTTATTATTGTTGTGTAGGTGGCTGTGCCATGGTATGCCTGTAGCAGTCAGAGAACAGCTTTGTGGAATCCGGTCATTTCCTGTCACTTCTCTGTGGGTTCTGGGGACTCAGTGCAGGTCACTAGGCTTGCACGGTGGCTCAGCAACCGAACCGCTGTCACTTGCCGAGCTACCTCACTGGCCGAAACACTACACTTTCGTCATCATTTTATTTAACCCAAGTGAATAAGGCAAAGAAGAAAAAAAAATAGCAGTGGTGTAAAATGCAAAAATAGAACTTTGATTATTCCCAACCAGTATGATGAAACGTATCACTATAAGAATTATCAGTATAAGAATTCAAGTGGATGATTAGATAGAAATCTATCTATAGTTATTCAGCATTTTATTTTCCAGCAAGAACTAAAAATAATTTTTAGTAAAACAGAATTAAATATATATCCCAATTAACTAAAAAAAAAAAAAAAGTTAAATTTGTGGCCAGGGATACAGCTCAGTGATAACAGTAAATTCTATGAAGGGGGCAAAACTAAGAACATAAAGTTCCCCCAACCCAAAAATGTACTCACAAATGAGATCTTTATGAAGGAAGTGAAAGACATTAACAGTCAACAAACCCCCCCAAACTGTCCCCATATTTATGAGCAGAAGCCCGTCCACAAAGATGCTGAGTTTGCTTCTCCTAACTCAAAAAAAAAAAAAAATCCAAAATGACTTACTTCTACATAATATGCACATATGAATAGCTGTGTGAAAACCTTTCTACTCTCAAAGCACTCTGAACAAAACCCGAGAGTCCCACCGCTGTTCACGGCCCCTCACACAGACAAACAGAACATAAAATCTAATGAGCCCAGGTATATATCAAAACTGAAGAGTCACAAAAAGAGAAGATTCAATAAATGTTTCCAGACTATAATACAGACATTTGCATTTCCATGTTTATTACACTTTCCAGAACAGCTAAGGAAGTGATGGAATTAAGTAAAGAGAAGTGAACAATGAAATGTAGTATACACATAGTGGGAAACTATTCGACACTAAGAATAACTGGATTTGTAATTTCCTCACCAGATTAGGGGGATCACGGTGCTAAGTGAGGTAAGGCAGGCACAGAAAGGCAATTACTGTGTGTCATCACTCAAATGTAAATCATAGACATGGAGAAATGAGCATGGCTCGGAGGCTGTAAAGCTACAGCGGAGAGGAGAGCAGCAGAAAGCTCTGGTGTGCTGCCGCCTACAGGGTAAGGTAATGTGCCTCTGCCCAACTGATTAAATATTACACATATCATCAAAACATAAAATACCCCAACAATGTGCCACTTAGGAAATTAATTCAACTAATTTAAAAAAAATTTAAAATAATAAAAAGGAAAAATATCGGCAATGGTTACTCACTTGAAAAAATGAACTGGAAAACTATCTGTAAAATGATTAAACAGGTTTTAAAGTATTTTCACATTTATTTAATGGAGGAGGCACGAACAATCTGTGGGAATCAGCTCTCTCCTTCCCTCCACCATATGGGTTGTGAGGCTCGAACTCGGGCCATCAGGCTTGGCACTCAGTGCCTTTACCTGCGGAGCCAAATCAGAGCTGCTTAAATGTATTTTTAAAAACCAACTCTGAAGAACGTTTTTAATCTGAAATGTGGAAGTCTCTTAGAAGAAAATATGGCGGGGATAAGATCTTGTGGTAGGGAAAATGTGTCTTACTAGAAACAAAACACCCAAACGACAAAGCTGGGCTTGTGTGCAGGCCTAGAGTCCCAGAGGGGGGGGGGGGGGAATCGAACAGGGACTGGGGAAGGGAAGCAAGTGAGTCAAGAATTTATGTGCATTCAAAGACAAAAGTTCATGCCTGTAATCCTAGCACCTGAGAGGCAGAGACAGCAGACTGCCTGGTGAATCTGAAGCTAGATTTGGCTACAGAGTAAGATAGAAAAGATGGAGGAACAGAGAGACTGGGGGGGGGGGGGAGGAGGGAAATGAAACTCCAGACAAAATCATACATGGTGGAATAAAAGCTGAGGAGTTCTCACCCAATATGCTTTGATAAAGAGAGGGAGCTGGGTAGCCCGGAAGCGTGCAGACGCTGGGGAGCGCTGCAGCAAGCAGCAGAACATACATGCAGGAGGACATGCCTGATGTCAGCACTCAGTTTCCTGGGACACCAGTGTGGCCAGCGCTGCCTCCCGACTTTAGGCTCCTATCTAACTATAACCTGGTTCGCTTAAGTAAAAAGCCCAAACAGAACTTGGCTGCTGTGGCAGCCATCACTGTCAGCCAATTATTCAGACCACCAGTTCCCAGTGTAGAGCTCCCTCCTCACAACACCGGGTTCTGGTGAGGGCAACTAAAGAATAGGTCATCAAATAAATTAGACGAGTTCAGGTTTTTCTTTTAAGCTTAGTCATCAAAAAAAAAAAGGAAGGAAGAAAAAAAAGAAAGAGTGTTCAACATCCATTACATCCATCAAATTAGAAACAGTGCTAAGAGCTGGGAAGAGGGTCTTTCAGCGAGGTGTTCCGGGATCATCATACTGTCCAGGTTTTACATACGTGTGACAAATACCATAGAACATGATTTTAAAACAAAGTATTAAAGCTGATCCAAGAAACAGCACACAACCAAACAGGGTATGTGGATCCAGGTCTGAATGCTAGGAGCCCAGCAGGAGGTCAAACTGGTCACATCGAGAACTGTCCAGAACCAAATCCGGCACTAACACAAAACATCTAAGCAAAGAAATAGGACACGCCCCTCCTAAGGGATCTACTGCTATGTTCCACTACCACGTCAGAGAGAGGAGTTTATGTAAATCCTATCTGACGAATACTGTGAAGCACAGTGCACAGGAAGAACAAGTAGACTTAATTTACAGCTAATTTAAATGTTAGGCTTAGAAACAATTCCCTTCTCCTTTGATCACGTGAACACGGCTGTTGTTCGGCAGTCGGCACATATTAAATACAATCTCTTTGGATTCTGTTTTACTGTCAGGTGGGAAATAAGGATCCACTTACGTTCTCCTCCAAATGATTAAAAAAGAAAGAGCAGACAGCACCTGAGGAGGGGCGCAAGGACACAATGGGGACGGCACGAGTGTCGCGCTCGCTCACCAAAGCTGAAGTCAAATCGAAGTTGTTTAGATTTTATCCATAAGCAGATAAAAAGAAAAAATAAGTGTATTAGCATAATTTAAGTCATTTCTTTAACCGACTGGTTTATGACTGACAAAGTCAGGTATTCTTCTCTTTTTTTTAAAGATTTATTTATTTTCATGTGCTCGATGTTTTGCCTGCAGGTATGTCTGTGTGGGGAAGCCAGATCCCTTGGAACTGGAGTTACAGACAGTTGTGAGCTGCCATGTGGGTGCTGGCAATTGAACCCCGGTTCTCTGGAAAAGCAGTTAGTGCTCTTAATCTGTGAACCATCCCTCCAGCCCAATTTAAGACACGTCTACATTCTACTGATTTATGACTGGCAAAGTCAGGGTCTATATTGACATATTTACCCTTCCTTAATATATTAAAAAAAATTTAAAAAACTTGTAATGTGATCCATGAGCAGTCTTTGTTGGGTTGGTTCTGAAGGGGCTGCAGCCACACTGGCTCCCACTGGGCATCAGTGAGTGCATCCCAGCTAGAACCTACCGAAGTGGTGGAGCAGGAGGGACAACCCATGGTCAGGGAAGAACCACGGGCTCTTTGATGGACACAAAGCATTTTAGGACCGTTTGCCATGTCGAGCAAAACAAACAAAACAGCTTTTCATGTCACATAATTCACAGACAAAGTGACATCCCGATGCCTCGCCATCACTAGAACAAAGTACCCATGCTCATATGGCCTTCTTTCATGGAAGAAGTGGTTTTCTTTATGAAAAATAGATGATAAACAACCAAGAAAATGAGACCTTAGTGCTGCTCTTACAGGAAGGCTTCTCCTCACGCTGAAGGAGAAGAACTGGTGTTCTTACTTCCAGGCGGAAGGGAAGCTGTTTCCTTTCCCTTGCTGTGAAAAAGCAAAGCCAGCAGGGAAGAGAAGGAACTGCCCTCATCCATTATTCACGTGGGGTCTGCCAGAGCCACCTGTCAACCAGAGCTGCCCAACTACGCCAAGGCTCACTGCCCGGCTTCTTTCCTCCGGGCTTTGTTGTCTTTCCTCCCTCTTCTTGGCATTTAGTTCACGTTTGTGAGAACTTTTTGGTCTGGAGAAAAGCAGGGAATACACGTGAAATTTGTTCTTCTGCCTGGAGCTGCTCTCCCCGGGCCTGGCTGTGAGCAGAGATGGCTGTAGCAGTATCTGAAGGGGGCCTCTCCTAACCCCACTGGATACCGTAGTGTGGCAACGAGGGCAAAGGTGGTCAGGAACCTTTCAAGGTGACAGTATGGTGTGCCAATGAGTATCCTTTCTAGTCTGGCTTTTATGCAAGAATCACCAAGGGTCGGATTCTTGTTGGAGTTATAATGGAACAGAAATGGGGTGGGGACGAGGATTAAGGAGGACACTAATGCTGCTGCAACACCAACTACGAACAGGCACAACGCTGCACCAAGAAATGGGGGCTGGGGGACTACAGAACTCTTTTCTCTGAGATTACCCAGTCAGTACAGTCTAGACATAGAAGAAAGAAAAACAAAAAGGAAGGAAGGAAGGGAGGGAGGGAGGGAGGGAGGGAGGGAGGGAGGGAAAAAGGGAAAGGGAGAGGGAGAGAGAGAGAGAGAGAGAGAGAGAGAGAGAGATTACAAAACTCTTTTCTCTGAAATTGCCCAGTCAGTACTCAGTCTAG